TTACAAAACAAAGTAATTTAGGAAACAACGACAGCACTTCTAGAGCTCGCAAGAACTTAACTAAACTATAGTCAATCCATTTGTTAAAAGTTTGATCGTCATCAGAAATATACCATTTGTCATAATTTTCACAATCCTCGTTATTACTTAGTTCTCCAGATTTGTTTGTACATAGTGTTTCAGGCCGCTGTTGCTGTGATTTTTCCTTTTTGTCGGAATATTTATCCTCTATATTAACAAAGTCAACCATTGACAGAAAAACTTGCAAAAAATCATTTCTTTCATTCGCAATGTCTTTTGTATTCAAATAATAAAAGTTACAAATATTTTGTATTTGAGACGGAATAATTATTTCAGATGATAACAAAATTTTTGTTGTGAAATAATGGAATTCTTCTAAAAAAGAAGTATCGCTATCACTGAATCTTTCTTTCGTCTCTTGTGAAATGACATCCAATCCACGAATTACAACCCACACTTTAAATGCTTGTTTAGGATTATTGATACGTTCAAAAGCAGCCGTCTCCCATGGCATGAGTTTTGTTTTTCTGTTTCTTTTTAGTTTGAAAATGGTGTCAATATTGCAGAAGATACAAAATTCTATTGCGGATTTTTTAATGTCACGGTAGAGATAATCAACATCATTTTTCATATTTTTTAGTTTTTTTATGCAAATAATACTAAGAAAAACTGTATTTGACAGATCTACTGCCTTGGCCTGCAAAATAAGAGAAACTTATATTGCAGGTCAATATATAACAGCTTATATTGCCTACTTTACATAACAGCTCATTTGCTGAATCTATTGTCTCTGAGTCATGACTATTTGTTGACAAAAATTCCAAAGCATAAACAATGCATTCATAACGATCAAACACGGTTTTAATGCCGTCTTCTGCTGATCTCCACTTTCGGGTTGTATCAAAAACTCTTTTCAACGATTTCGTATATCTGGCGTTCTGCTTCATTTCAAAAACAAAAATAGAATGTCACTTGTGTTCTGAGAAAAATATTATGCAGTTCTTGAATAACTCCTAAAATATTGGTTATTTTGGAACAACATTTTAAAACGGATTCAATAACTAGACTTAATCGATGTGCACTGCACCAAACATACATGGCTTTTGGAGCCTTTTCAAGGATTAATGATTACGCTACCGTAACTTTAGCCAATAATCCAATTTTTTTTGACTTTGATAGTTAAAAAAATTGAAAAAATCCTCTTACTCAGAAAATTTTTTCAGATGCTTCATCTGAAAAAATTTAAAATATAAAATTTTACTCTTTCAACTGGTGTGGACCAGCAGGTGTATTTTCTAAATAACGTAGTATGAGGCATTGGGCTTCCATTTTAGATTTATCTTCGGTTCCATCACTAAAAATGGAATGCTTTTGGTTCCTCACGTCTGTCACAATTTTTTCAACAACTAAATTTTTATTGTAGTTAACAACCGCCGCACGTTAAGTTGACTTAATATATTTGTTGCCGGTTTCTTACGAAAATTATTTAAACGAATAGTATTCGACATTTTTAAATAATTGGCCAATAAAGCATTAAATTCAGAAAATTTATGAAAAAGATGCAAAAATTTACCCTCCTTGGAATTGTGACAAAAAATAGCTATCATTTCAGTAGTCAAAAATTTCAAACATTTGGTAGACACATATACGGCTTGTCTATTCTTCTCTGATGATGAAATGTGTAATTTTGAAAACATCTTATCTATAGATATAAAAATTTGTTTCAAGGGCTAGCCCAAATGGAGCCCCATATATGTAGTTATAAAAGCATTAAATTCCATCTTATTTTCTTAATTTAAACGCCATCCGATCGCACGATAATGAGGCATTATGAATCGTGGAAAATCAGTAAAAAAATGTATCGCTTAAGTCAACTTAGCCGAGCGTTATTTAAAGACTTAGTCCATGAATAAAAAAAAATCTTTTTCAAAAAATTTTCTTTTTATTTAAAGTCAAATCATTTTAAAAACTCTGTAATAGTGCTATTAATGTCATGTATTTGTGGTTTTAAAAGAGTTTTAAATTGTATTAAAAATTATTTTTTTAAACATTGAAGAGAAATTAAACAAAAAAGTTACAAAATTTTAGAAGACTGAAATTTTTTTTTTGTATAAATAAAAAAGTTTTTGAAAGTGTATGCGATATTTGAGTTTTTCTAAACCCACAAGCGAAAATGTAAACAAAATGACAGGTCTTACAGAGTATTTCTTCATATTGATGAATTAAATAAACTAAATTTAAAATTACTTAACATTAAAAAATAATTAAATACTTTGTTTTAATAGGTATTTACTTAGATTGCACCTTCTAACATCGGGTGCAATCCTGTCCGCTTTCTCTATGCTATCTTTCTTACACGACTTCTTCTGTCTTTTACTCTAACATTCTTCGTCCTTCCTAAACTCACTTTACTCTTGGTCCGTAGAGCAGGTAATGACGCTATTTACTAGCTGAACTTGCTTCTGCGGTCCTTGGTAATGTGGCCTCCGTATGGCAATTAGCTGGAGGAGGATAAACCACAATACCTAAAATTACTTAACATTTATATTACCAACAAACGATAAGATGTTTGAAATAAAAGTAAGAAAAGATCAGCTATGCCCTCAATGCAAAACGAAAGTTGAAACGACTGCTCACATGATCTATGAATGTGAAAAAGTGCAACCTTTAATTTTTTATCTTTTAGACATTCTAGATCAACTCTACCCTTTAGAATACCCTCATATTAACAGTTTGAAATTTATTTTATTCGGCTATGAAAAAAGAGTCAAACAAAGATTTTTTGGGAATATTTTATTGGATGTTTTGCTAACGGAAATTTTTTATAATAGAATGAAGAGCCACTTCGATAATAAGGTTTTTACAAACAAATATCTTTTAAAAAAATTGAAAAAGTTTTAAAAAACGAGTTACTAATAATAAACAAGAATAAACAAGAAATACACAAGGAGGAAATAAAAAATATTTTTTGCAACGGAAGCTTGAGATTGGTTGCTGATATATGCAACTATTTTTGAATAACATTTTAGACTTTTTTAGAAACTTTTTATATAAAATACTTTTAATTTTTTTTTAACTAATTGTATATATTAGATGAATGTAATTCTTTCATATATGAAATGATAACAGAGAATTAATGATTAGCTAAATATTTGATAAAAACTAAAGAAATAACTTTTTTCAGATAAGAAAAACACGTGACTAAACAGTTTCAATTTTTCCTTTTCAAAACAATTTTTCTTTTTATTCTCTTTCGATTTTATTTTTTGTGTTTTTTATATTTGGTTTTTTATGGTGATTTTATTGTAATGGGTCTAAGACATCTTTGTAACAGGGGTATATATTTACGAAATCTTGTAACTTTTATTTTTTTTACGGTGTCTGTATGGCAATTAGCCGGATGACAATAAACTACAATACATAAAATTACTTAACATCAGGGTTGGGGTCAGGGTTTTTAGATTAGGGTCATTAAATTATATATACTACTGTAGCTAATTTACTACTCAAATACTGTGGTATATTTATTAATGGCTGCTACTGATTAATTTTTTCTTCCTATTTTTGGTACCCTGTTTTACTTCTATAAAGCTAGACTTAGAGACTGGAATTACCGAAAAACGGTTCCTTCGGTAAATTTCGGTTCCTAATTTGAAAAGAAACTGATAACTTCGGTTCTTTTCGATTCCTTATTTTAGGCAAGAATCGTTATTACGGTAAATTTCGATTCCTTATTTTAAGAAAGAATCGTTATTACGGTAAATTTCGATTCCGATTCTCATAAGAACCGATAACTTCGGTTCTTTTCGATTCCTAATTTTAGGCAATAATCGAAATTACCGTAAATTTTGGTTCCAATTTCGGTTCTTAGCGGGAAATATCGCAAAAAACCGAAAATGCTACAAAGAATCGAAATTGTTACTAAGAATTGAAAAACTTGAATTTTTTTAATTTTTATTTTCAAAAATACAGTTGAAATACAGTTGAAAAATACAGTTATTCTAAATCACTATCAGTGAGATTAGTGACACTGTCCTTGCTGCCATTGCGACTACTACTAGCACTGCTATAAGCTACGCTAGTAGAACTATCACTAGCTTCAGTATTAAATAAATCTTTAGATGCATCATATATAGGGTTTTTTTTCATTGGTGATTTTTTCATTGGTGATTCAAGTACAAGTTTCCTTTTTTTAGCTCTTTGTAGTAGACTTTGAGACTGTGATTCATTTGGTTTCAAAAAACTTTTCATTTTTTTCTGTTTGGTTGCTTGGGTTAGTGTAGATGGAGATGGTTGAGGTTGAGTCTGAGAAGGTGATGGTAAAGGTTGAGTCTGTGAAGTTGATGATAGAGGTTGATCTTGAGAGGTGGATGGTAGAGGTTTATCTTGAGAGGTGGATGGTAGAGGTTGAGACTGATAGCCTGGTTCATTAGGGCATTTTTTGTCCCAGGACCTTATTTTTGATTTGACTAGTGGAAAGTTTTCTTTTATGAACATTATTTTTTGAAGGGTCTCTGGCTTCATATTGTGTCTTTTATCACTAATAATATTTCCTCCTAATGAAAATAGCCTTTCTGAAGAGCATGAAGTCACTGGTGGACACAAGTACTTCCTTGCCATAGCAGCTAGTAATGGCAGTTCCTTTTGATTGACCTTCCACCATTCCAAAACCTTCACATCCTTAGCTGGCTTTTGCATAGACAAGTACCTCTTAAATTCCATTTAAAAAAAAAAATTGAATTTGAACTTACCGCAAAGAATCGAAAATGTGTATAAGAATCGAAAATGTGTATAGAAATCGATATTTATAAGTATCGGAAATATTTATAAGAATCGAAATTTTTATTAATAAAAATGAATATCTATCTTCAGAGGAGGCTCTGATGGTCCTGCCAAAGTTGGTGCATCATTTCCATCATTTTCCATGGCCATTCTCTCAAAATCATCCATATCTTCATCTAAGTTTGGCATTGCAGTAGGTAATGAAGCCGCATAAGCCTCATTGTATTCTCTGGTAGTTGGATGATTATCTACCAGTTGGTCTATTATTCCATCTATGATCTTTGTTGCCCTTGATTAATGTGATAGAATAACCTCTATAAAATGGATCAAACACACTTGCAAGATTAAAGTCATTAACTTCAGTGCCTTTATCTGGAATCCTAGTTTCCAAGTATTCTATAAACCTGGTCATTGCATCTTTAGCAATTCTTGAACCTGGAAAAGAGAAAAATGAATAAATAATCAAAATTGCATTATTTGTTGATAATCATCGAAATTATTAGTAAGAATCGAAAGAATCACAAAAAAATATTTTTTACCTGAAGTATTTTGTGTAACTGTCCTATGGCACATAGTAATCAATGAAAAGAGGTGTTGCTGGATCTTGTGAACTGTAGGTGTTTTATCTGAGGACCAAATCTCTGAGTATTCTTGACATTTTGCCAAGAAAGGATGAAGTTCTGCAATTACTTGAAAATCTTCATCACTTGGTATAAGTATTGTCAAGTTTGCATTCAGGCTGTTATCTCTGACAGACTTCAAACCTTGCTCATTTCTTAACACTGACTTGAACAGCATTGCATTTGAATTCCATCTTGTTTGCACTGATTGGATTAGCTTGATTGGATTACACCCTAGAGATTCAGATTCTTGTTTGATTTCATACCAATCCTTAGTGCTTTGATGTGTCCTTTGAGCAAGTCTCTTGCACTTATCAACAATTATCTTAACCTCACCATTTCCTAATGTGTCTTTCAAACAATTGTTCAACATGTGATCAACACACACCAATTGCTTGTCCAATAAAGTTGCTAAACTGACAGCTGCCTTCATGTTAACTGCACCATCATTCACACATGTTCTTTTTAGGTCAGGCCTTGCCAAGACTTCATATTTTGAAATCATAGTGTCTAATCCTTTGGCAAGTAAAGGACCTGTTTTCCTATTTAAATGAGCCTGGCAGTCCAAACTGTACTTTTTCAACTCAAAATCACTGTTGATGTAATGGAGTGTGAGAGATTCAAAAGGATCACCATTTTTTGCAGTCCAACCATCTGATGTAAAAGCTACACTTTGACATTCTGGTACTTCTTCCTCAAGTTGATTGGTTATTGCCTTTTCAACATTACAATGAATCATGTCAAGCTTTGTTGTAGCAAGTGTTTTTGGTGTTTTTATGATTGCTTTTGGTGCCAAATAGTTCAAGAGCAACTTCATTCCTAGAGTTTCCACAATATTGAAAGGAAGATTTGACATGATGCAGGCCAGAGTAAGAACTGTATCAAAATCAAGCTGACAGCTGCTTTGTGAATCCCATTTAGTTATCTGAAATAATAAAAAAAATGTTAAATATCGAAAGGAATCGAAATTATCGAAATTACCGCAAGGAATCGAAATTACGTTAAACAAGACCTGACAACCTAATATATATGGGTAAGTTGTTGCAGTTTCTAGAGACAGTGCTAATCACTCTATCTATTAAAACAAAGAAGTTTAAAGTTAAAAGCCTTTAAAGTTTTGAAACGTTTGAAAAACACGTGTTTACTAAATCTACATGCACGTGTTAGGTGACAGGTCAAATCAAAAACTTTAAACATCAATATCTTTGTTAATATTGAGTTTAGAGCAAAAAGGACATTAATTTGGAATCATTAAATTGTTGTTTAGTGTGGAAATTTAACTTTTTATTAATTTACAAAGTTATTAAACTTTAAAGTATATTATAAATTTGGAAAAGGGCGCAAAAGTTTCTAATTTAATATAAAAATAGATTTCTAACATTAGTTTCATCAAAATCAAGCCCGAATTGGTAAATTGAGAAAAAAAAAATTTCTGCATGGCCCAAACGGCGCCTAAAAGATCCGAGTTTTTTTTGAAGAAATATTTTTTCTCAATTTACCAATTTGGGCTTGATTTTGATTCGAATATTTACAAATAAAAACGGTAAAATGTTATAAAAACGATTATTTAAGCTACTAAAAAATTTCAATATTTTTCTCACCTTAACATACTCATCCAGAGTTACTTGAAGTTTTTCATGATCACCTTGCTGACTGGATGGTGGAGACTTTTTACTAAGGTTATCCAGCCTTTTTTTACTAGTGGTTGTGGCTGGAAAGAAACCTCTCAAACTTGAAGATCTATCAAGCTCCTTTTCAACTTCCTCCCTGTCAGCAGCACTTTGCACTACTTTGTCTTTCTTTGCCTTAATATAAGCTTTGGCTTGATCTGTATAAAATTTGATAATTGATAATTTGATAAATTTGATGATATAAGATTTGGCTGAGATCTGTATAAAAAAAGATTTAAATTAAATAATTATAGGGGTAGGAATCGAAATTACCGAAATAATTGAAAATATTGAAAAGAATCGAAAAAATTGAAATAACTCCTATAGATGGCGCTTTATTAAATTAAATGTAACAAACAGTATTACTGTTAGCTGTTACTGTATAATAAATAATAATCAGTGCTTATGTTTATTTAATTATTTAGAACTATTGTTATTTTTTTATTTTTTTATAAAGTAAATCTTTACTTAATATTAACTTAAATTGCAAAAATTCTGAAAATATTGAAAAGAATCGAAATTACCGAAAAAATTGAAAAAACATTACTTACCTTAAATGTTTACTCATTCCTGATGTACTTCCATGGCAGCAAGTTAACACTGCTTGACATTGATTACAACTTGATTTATAAGTTTTCTTTTTGGTGTCAGAATTCACTGTCACTTCTGGTAGTTTGGTAAAGTAATTCCAAATTGCATTATTAACTTGAGACATTATTGTAAATTGTTGTAAAGAGTTGTTTGTGAAACAATAAATTGTAACTGATTAGATTTTCACAAAACCCCACTATCTATACTGGTAAAGGGGAATCCCTTAGGGGAGGGAAATTAAATTTGAATGAATTTGAATTTAATTTTGCACGCCATTATTAAAACGTATTTGTAATAAAAACGATTCTTTACAATAAAAACGATTTTTTAATTAATCCCTTAGGGGAGGGAAATTAAATTTGAATGAATTTGAATTTAATTTTGCACGCCATTATTAAAACGTATTTGTAATAAAAACGATTCTTTACAATAAAAACGATTTTTTAATTAATAATTGAAATTTACCGTTTTTATTACAAAGAATCGAAATTACCAAAAATATTGAAAATATTGAAAAGAATCGAAAATATTGATTATAACGGAAGTATATTATTAAAAAAAAGGTTAGTAATCAATTTACGGTTCTTTTCGATTCCTATTCTGATAAAGAACCGATAACTTAGATTTTTTTTTTATTCATATTTTGATAAGGAATCGATAACTTCGGTTCTTTTCGATTCCTTTTTTATAAGGAACCGATAACTTCGGCTCTTTTCGATTCCTATTCTGATAAGGAACCGAAACCTTCGATTCCTTTCGATTCCCCGAAAAATACCGAAGAACCGAAGAACCGTTTTTCGGGAACTTCAGTCCTTAGCTAGACTCAAGTATTTATGACTACATATTAAATCTAATTTATAAATAAATCATTGTTTAAAATTTTAAGAAAAATTTAAATAAATAAAAACGTGGGACCCATGTGGGTCCCACACATGAAACCCATATGGGCTGCCCACTTGGGCCCCAATTCACGTCCAGCAACAAATTTCCTTGGGTGGGATGTGGGCAACCCATTTGGGTTCCATAAGGCTGCCCATGACCATGTAAGTATAATATGACTTGCTGGCTGGGTAGTTGATTCTCCCTACACCATCCAACACTTGCTAGCTCAGCTTCGTGATGGTCTTGACTGTACTTGTGATTTGCAATATCTCTACATGCATTGTTCCAATTTTTTATTTCCTTCTTGACCCAATTCACTGATACTGATGGTATCAGTCTCAATGCAAATCACACAATGCAAACTATCTTTCGAAAAACCATAATTCAACCATTTTCTGACTTTTTTTCTCACCGTCAGGTAATTTTTTTAAAAACAAGAATTGCAAACAAGCTCGATCACCTATTCGTGGAAGTAAAAACGTTTTTTGGGCAAATGGTTTGTAAAAAACAATTGGCATATAGCAAATTTAGTTATATGAGAATTTAAAAATATTGCAATCTCAATATCGCCCTGAGATTCGACAGATGTTATTTCAACGCTATTTTCAATTTCACATGAATTGACTATTTCATTCTCAGATTCTATCCGAAATGCAAGCATTGGAATTATAACGCATGTTTAGTTTTAAATGTTTCGCAAACATTATCTTCAGTTGTTATTACAGACTCATGAAATTATTTGATAGAATTTGGAGATGATAATTCTGAAACTGCAGGAAGGAAAACTTGGTAGGGTATGATGGATTCCACATTTATATTAGTGAAATTTTCTGATACTGGTTTACTAACAACAGCTTCATTAAACAATAGATTTTTGACAGCATCTCTATATTTAACCCATTCTCCGTCATTTTGTCTAGATCCTATTACTTTAACTTGACTTCCAAGTTTCTGTATTAAAAAAAATTACAACTTTCTGATTCTAATTTTGCTAACTTGGGGAAGTTTATTTAGCATTCAACCCAGTACTAACAATATTTTATAATGTTAAAGAAATTATTAAAATACATCCTAACATTAACATATTGTACAGAATATATTAAAAATATTAATTATTATTAACCTCCCAAATTTGTATGCGTCTTTCTTTTTACAGCAACCTTTCCATTCATCAGAAAAAACTAGGGCATTGCATATATTTTCTTGACATTGGTACTTGTATTGCGTTTTTTCTCTTGGCAATATTTTCAAAACTTAAACTGCGCGACATAATGATACTTTTGTGAACTGTCAAAATTTTAGTTTAGGATTTTTTTATTAAGTATAAAATAACAAGTTAATTAATAATTGGTCATGCTGAGAAGAAAGTGCTCTCTAACTTATCAAAAATTGGTCACTCCGTTAGTTACATGGCTAGAGCTATTGGACTGTGATTAAAAACTACGTTAATAGTCCTCATATGTATGGAATAAAAAAATCCTGGGCGTCCACCAACTTTAAGTGACTGTGAAAGGCGAAGTTTGATGAGAAATTCTTTATAAACTGCACGTCAAATTGCTGCAGAAGCAGGTGTGATTGCTAATTTACAGACATTTCAGCAAGTTATTCGTAATACTTTGTACCTTTTGCGCAAAAAACTTCAGCGAAAACCACCTTTGACAACAAATCACATAAACAATCGAATAAAATTTGCAAAAGACAGTGGCAACAAGTAGTATTTTCTTATAATGAACGATTTTGTCTTGATGGGCCGGATGGATGGAATTATTATTTTCACGAAATGAACAAAGAACACAGCAACGACGTTAAATGGGTGGTGGTGGTGGTATAATGGTTTGGTGTGCGATTGGGTATCATGATAAATCAAAAATTCATTTTTTCAGCAAGATAATGCTAGCATTCATACAGCTAAGATAGTAAAGCAATATTTCAACAGCAGTAAAATTGAAATATTGAAGTGACCAGCTAGATCACCAGATCTAAACATTATTGAGAATGCTTAGGCAAAGCTGTCACATATAGTGTTTGAAGGTGGTAAACAATATAATTTACTAGCTGACTTAAAATCATCTATTGCATCTGCATGGGATGCAATTGAAATTTTGTACTTAAAATAGTTTTATGATTCTTTACCTTCTAGAATGACTGATTCAAAAAAATGGTAAAAGTACCCACTATTGATTTTTTAAAATTTAAGACATCTTTATATATATATATATATATATATATATATATATATATATATATATATATATATATATATATATATATATATATATATATATATATATATATATATATATATATATATATATATATATATATATACACATATTTGTTATATATATATACATATATTTTTTATTTCACCTCCCCAACGCCACTACAGACGAGGAGACGAGAAGGCCACTACAGACGAGGAGGCTACTTAATTGTGGTTATAACCCTCTCTCAACTCTATAACTCCGAAACACGAACCTTGTTGAACAAGGCCGCTGCGCGGAGAAACAAGTTGAGCGCGGTACTACCGTGATGGGGATCGAACTCCAAACTTTTTGAAAACAAAGTTTTTAAATATAAATGTATAGCAGAGTTTCATAAATATTTTTGTGTTATCATTATGTCGCGCAATAATTTTTGAAAATCTTCTAACGAGTTAAAAGGATAATTGTTTAATGTGTTTTAATGACATTTCTGGATTATAACATATAATTGGAAAAGCCTGGAGAGCCGCACGTTTAGATAAAAGAGTAACCCAACCTACACCAAGCTATACAAGACCTATAAAAGACCTATACTATCCCGAACCTATACTATACTATACAAGACCTATACTATGCAAGCTATACAAGACTATACAAGACCTATATTATGCCGAACCCTGACCTAAACCAAGGAACGTTGATATGCATGACAGATCATGATGCAGAGTTTTCAGAGTTTTGTATTTAAAATAAACTAATAAAAAGCAGAACAAAATAAATAAAAAACCTAGTTTCAAACAAAAAATGAACTTGAAAATAACAAATAGCATGTTCTTCCATTTCTTTTTTTCCTGGGATATATAACCAGAACGTCGCTCTCTATTTTTTTCCATACTTTTTTTAAAAATAGTTAAACAAAATAAAAACAATTTGTATTTGCAAGTTTAAACTTCTTTATTACAAGTTGAATAATAAACATTCGCAAATATACTTGTTGTAACCGAAAGCAAATAAGTATAATAAATATAAAATGCAAGTTATTTCATAAAATTGATTCGCAATTTTATCAAATTATTTTGCAAAGCTTAACTAGCTTAAGAATATATATTAATAAGCTTAACTAGATTAAGAATATCTAGCTCATAAAAGGTCCATAAAAACATTTAATAACGTTCTAAACTTGCACGTAGTTATTTTGTTAACAGTTAAAAGTATAGTTTTAGCAATATATTTTCCACTTTTTAAAGCAACAGAGTAAAGAATATTAACAATCAGTAACGGGTATCAGTAACGGGTATCAGTAACGGGTATCAGTAACGGGCCCAGGTGAAAGGAGGGGGAGAGAGAGGCTATGCATCCCCCTCCCTACCAAAAATTCCTCGATCCATTACTGATATATATATATATATATATATATATATATATATATATATATATATATATATATATATATATATATATATATATATATATAGACATAAAGTTATGATAATATAATTATAAAGATAGATGGGTTTGATTAATAAGGCTGAAAAATTATAAAGATAAGGGATCGTTCATAAAGTACGTACTCTCGGAGAAGAAGAGGGGGTCTGCAAATAGTGTATTTGAAATGGTAGTGCAGTCGGTCAATTATAAAAGAAAGAAAGTACTAAATTAAAAAAAATATCATTAAATGCTAGATAAGTAGGTTAAAAGCGTGGGTACTTTTAGGGAAGTGGAGGGTAGTCATACTATTGCAAAATGCGGGGGGGGGGGGGGGGAGAGGGATTGACGAAAAAAAAGGGGAAATCATAATCACCAGTAAATCATAATCAAGTCTTATGAATTAATTTAAAACAAACAATAGAATCAAGAGAAAAAATATACAAAAAGATAAACAGAATTTCGAACTAAAAAAAAAAAAAGAAAAGAACTCTTCCGTAAAACAATAAAAGAACAAAAAAAGAACAAAAAAAAAAGAACAAAAAAAACAAGAAAGAAAAAAGTTAACCAATAAAAAGATACAAAAGAAGAAAAGAAGAAGGAAAAATAAAGAAAATTACAAACAAAGAATAAAAATGGTTCTTTTATACTTATTTTTTAACGATTTATAATAATATATTATAATTTTTTGTCTTTCTAATTTTATTATTATTAATTTTCTTGAATTAAATTATTATTTTTTTAATAATATTCTTTTATTATATTAATATTTTTCTTGTATTATATTATTATTTTTCATTAATATAGTTAATAATATTTTGTTCGATGTTTTTTTTTGCTGTTGTTGTATCTTTCAATGTTATTTATTTATTTCACATATGTTATCTCCTATTATATTATTTATTATTAAATTAACTCTTTAAAAATCTTAACACTATATATTTTTTATGATTACCAGTTATTATCACCATAACATTTTTGTTTCCACAACTGAAAGTCCGTTTGCCAGGTTTTGTACCTTTTTTAGCACTTTTTTTTTGTATTTTGGCAGAAGTTTATACTTTAGGAAATGTTGAGATATTTACGCTATGCATAAGCCAATTCACGTTTCAAACAGCAAATAAATATTTTTGTCTATAAAAGTTGTTGATATTACATAGTAGAACACTCAAGTAACCTTTATTTTGAATAGAGTAACCGAATATCACAGAATTAGTAACGTTTTGAGATACAAGCAGTAAAAAGCTAATAAAATATAAACTTAAACTACCATAAATCCTTAACCAGTTAATCAATCCAACTGAAATTGAATTCAAAGTTTGGTATGGCCATAAGTTACATTTGCACTAATTTTTAATTAATTATATGTAGTGGTTCTCATTATACAGGTGTTTTTATTGTCGCACTATAATGTCAAAATTTTACTTAATTTGAACATCCAAATTAAATTATTTTCCGCGGATAAGGTTAAAAAATTTCAAATTTGTTTCACAGGGTACCTTGATGTGTTCACTATCACCCTATAAAAGTGGCATCTTGTGTCACCTAGGTTGGCATGATCAGGATACGTACTAACAGTGTACGTAAAAATAATTCAAAAGTAACTTTTTTTACATATAAAAAATAAGTTACATTTCATGCATAATTATAACTAAAATAACTTTTCCAAAGTAAATTACTTTACGCGACTTACCGGTAAGTCTCGTAAAGTTATTTTTTTTTGTAAAGTAATATTGGTATACCGTTAAAAGTATATTTAACGGCTACGTTACGGTATTTAACAGTGTTTTTTAACGGTATACCGTTAAAAGTAAATTACATTTGCAAGTAAAAGTAAACAGTCTTTTAATAAAAATTACTTTAGCTTCTAAAAATAAATTAATTTTTCAAGTAACAGTAACTTATTTAAAACTTTCTTTTATATATCTTTTATTTAAATTCAATGGTCTAAAAATTTAGAAATTACAGAATTTATTACATTCATATATACACACATTCATACATATAAATGCACACATATTTTGGTTGTTAGATTTATAGTTGCTTTGATTAACTAGTGTACAAGTTATGTTTCCCCATCTCTTATATGACGCAATGTTCTTTGGGTAAAACTATTTTTGTAAGCCGTATTTGCAGTAGTTATCTTGAAACCGAAGTTGATATTTTGTCTTGTTGTTATTTTGAATTTATTTTTTGTCTTTATGTTTAGCGGATGATTTGGGTTTCGTAGAATACGCTTTAGGATTTTTATACATATATTGTCAATGTATGTGTTGGTGTTTTCAATGTTATATTTTGTTCTGGCAATTTCTGGACTAATGCCTATAGATTTTAGCGTTTTTAGATGTATTTGCTGTGTTTCGTGCTTTATTTTGATACTGCTTGCACACACTAATGGTACACTATGAATCAAGTGGCTAAGTCCAATACTTTGGTATATTGTTACTAGTAATTTACTGTGAAAGCCTAATTTTTTTAGACTTCTAATTAGGTACTGAGCTGAGGAGAATTTGGGCTTGATGCGATGCCAGTGTTGGTCGGTGTTTATTTCAATATTTAAATCTAATCCTAGGTATTCATATGAGGTTACATATTCGAGAGTTTTAGAGTTGATGGAAGCAATTGGTTGTGGGCGTGTGTCGAGTTTGTTACTAGGTATGCTCATGATTTTGCATTTTGATGTGTTTAATAACATTTTGTTTTTAATGCACTAGCTATTAACTTTGTCGCATATTTCCTGTGGTAGGGTTGAATGGGTTAGGTCTCCAACAATGTATGCAAAGATGTCATCAGCAAATTTGTAAAGTTCAGTATTGCGGTTAAATATATCGTTTATACTGAGAATGAAGCGTATAAGAAACGGTCCGAGTAAAAGAACGGGTCCGAGTGCACTGTCTTCGATGACTCCAGCTTCCACAGGTTGCCATTCTGTTGCTATGCCGTTAGTATAAACTCACTGATATTTGGTCTGTAGGTACAATGCAATCCAGGATATATATCTCCCTAAAAGCCATTTAGGGAGGTATATTGACCAGTTACTTGGGTTCGGTAATTTAGCGATAGGTGTTATGTTTGCAAGTTTCCATTGATAAGGCGTAAATGAGTGAGACAAACACTTGTTAAACAGAAGACTTAAAATACCGGAGATTTCAGGATGAACGCATTTGAGTAGTATCGGGTAGATTTGGTCGGATCTAGGTGATCCTTGTTCTAAATTTTTTTTTAATATTTGAAACAATGCCTGTAGTAAAGAGTAGAGGTACGTTTTGGTGGTTTGAATTAATAATAAAGCAAGATATGTCCGGCTGCTTTGAACCATTCCAGACACTGTATAAACCTTCGTTTAATTGCTTTGCTAAATCTGTATCAATAAATTGGTTTTTCGAGGCATTTTTTATTTTATTTATTTTGTTCCATCAGGTGCTAGTTTCTATAGTGAGGCCACTATAGAATTGTTTTTTGCGGTGCCATATTTTTGAGTTAACAATTTTGCATGTTGTTTTCCATTTCTCAAGATTGCCATTGTGGTACTGTTTTAGTCGGATTCGGATTTGTTTCTTAATGTCTGCTGTCATCCATGGTTTACCATTGACAAATTTTGTTATTTTTAATGGTTGATGATAATTTTCTATCTGAATAATGTGTTGGTAGAATGAGTCGAATGCTATTTGTCTATTGTCTTGAGAAAAATTTAATAAATGACTTGGGATAATTTGTTTCCAATTTGTTTGTCTCAGAGCTTCTGCCGTGTCTGCCATGTTACCAGATCTGTATTTTGCTAATGTAGGTGCTGATTTAGTCACAATAGAAAGAATTTAATGGAAAAGCGTGGACTATATCGTGACCAAGCGGTGGAAGGTTTGTGCATTTGTATACTGATTTTAGAGCGTTTGTAAGTATTATATCTAAAATACGGTTTTGTCTGGTTGGTTGGTGATTAAGTTGGTGAAGACTATGTGAGTTAGTTATATTTTTTGTGTTGGCACCGTTTAAGTCACCAGTTACATATATCAGAGGTTTTTTATCTCGTGTATTACTAGAGATAATATTTTTGATTTGAAGCAGAAGCTGGTAGATTGATGATTTTTGCTTGTTGGCTACCCACTCTGGTATATATGCACATGCTACAATGCAGGATGAATATCCTCGTGGTAATTGTTGCGGGTAGATTCTAACTAAAGTGAGCTCTAGCTTGCCAATTTTGTTGTGGTCTTTGACCCAAATTATAAATTCTATTTTAATTAGTGTAAGTGCAGTAAATTTTGGAGAGTAGCTTTTTTTAATCAAAATTAGAGTCCATCCACCCACTTGGTTGTTGTGTTCATTGCTAATTGTATAATATTTTTCATTAATTTCGTTCAGTATTATGATTTTATTTTGCTCATTTAACCAGGTTTCTGTTATGCACACTAGATCGGCTTCAGAGTCTTTAATGACTTGGTTGATTAATTGCGCTTTGTTACAAATCGAAAAGACGTTTGTTACGAGTATAGATGGCAGGTATTTGGTTTTTGCAGTGTAATATTTGGCATTTGGGTTGAGTGGTGTTTGACAGAGTTTTTTTTAATTGTTCATAATTGATGAAGGGCTTGTTTTACACTATTGTTATTAACAAATAGGTGTCTTTGGGTGCTGTTAATTAATATTTTCTGTGTTAAGTCAACACACTTAAGTGAGTTTGATCTTATTACAAATCTATATTTGTCTTTATTCCCTGCATTCTCGAGCGCTTTATTAGCTGCTTGTCTTTTTATAAGTAGTTCTCGGTATTCGGATTGTTCTGCTAGAGTGCGGTCCGGACAGATCGAAATGTGTGTATAATCGGAGTTTGCTAGTTTCTTGATTGCTGCAAGTATGGCATTTTTGTTTTTGGTGGTTTCAAGCTCTATGATGAGTAGTTCAGGCTTATTTTGATTTCCGTTTGATAGTGTTTGTCTACCACGCTTTAATTTTAAAGTTTGGGTTTGAATTTCGATTTTTCCTAGAAATTGATAGTGTTTGTCTACCACGCTTTAAGTTTGTAAGTTGGGTATCGCTTTTGTTAGGATTGCTTGGCATGCCGAATATAACGATGTTTTTTGACTTGAGCTTTTTTAACTTTGAGTTAGCAGTTATTGCCATAACGACCGCTGTGTTTTTTTGCCGAACCTTGCTTTACTATTTTCACTGTAAAGTGGTTTTAAGTTAGTCTTGCTGTTTTTCCTTCAATATTTTCCCTTCTTCATTTGCTAAAGATGTTTAAGTTACAACCATTTTTAACATCAAAAACTCTGTTGCATAACTGCACACAAAGTCATTATCAGTAAATACTTGACAGTTATATAAAAATAAACCTGTTTTCAAATGCAGCTACAATGTTTAAAGGTGTTTTTTTTTGAAAAACAAGCCCTGTATGTTGTAAATATAATTTTAAATACTTGTATGTATTTATTTATTTTTAACAATAGTTTTTCCGTTATATATATGTATATATATATATATATATATATATATATATATATATATATATATATATATATATATATATATATATATATATATATATATATATATATATATATATATATATATATATATATATATATATATATATGTATATATATATATATATATTTGCTAATGTAGGTGCTGTATATATATATATATATATATATATATATATATATATATATATATATATATATATATATATATATATATATATATATATATTTGCTAATGTAGTTTTTCCGTTATATATATGTATATATATATATATATATATATATATATATATATATATATATATATATATATATATATATATATATATATATATATATATATACATCACAGTAAATATGACTTTGGCTTATACCGCGATGACGGATTAGCAGTTTTTAAAAATGCTACTGGTCAGCAAATGGAGAAAACTAAAAAGCATATCACTTACTTATTCAAATGTAACAATCTCAAAATCTATACAGTGCAACCTCAAAATTGTGAATTACCTCGACGTAACTCTTAACCTCTGCAACCAGTCATACCAACCATATTGCAAACCTGATAATACTTTAAACTACATACATGCTCAATCTAACCACCCTCCTAATATACTAAAACAACTACCGCCAAATGTTGAACTCAGATTGTCCGGAAATTCTAGCAGCGAAGAGGTGTTTAAAAAATCTGTACTTATTTATAATAAAGCACTACAAAACTCTGGTTATAAACAAAATTTATCTTACCGACCTAACTTGAGACAACAACAAAAGAAAGACCGTACGAGTAAAATAATCTGGTACAACCCACCCTATAGCATAAATGTCACCACAAATATAGAAAAAAGCTTTTTAAACTTGATTGTCAAACATTTTCCATTTAACAACAGACTACACAAAATTTTCAACAAAAACACAGTAAAAATCAGCTACAGTTGCATGCCAAACATAAAATCAATAATAAATTTACACAACAAGCACATCCTAAACAAAATCTAACCATTAATAAAGATAACTGCAACTGCCTTAATAAAAACAATTGTTCTTTACACAATAACTGCTTGACCAACAACATTCTATACCAAGCAACCATCACTTCGGATAACCCTTCAATAAAAAAATCATACATTGGTATTTGTGAAACATCTTTCAAACTGAGATATGCTAACCATTTGAAATCGTTTAATATCCCGAAGTATAGAAACGATACAGAGCTGTCAAAGGAGGTTTGGAACTTAAAAGATAATGATAAAAATCCTGTGATCAATTGGAAAATAATTAGAAGATGTGAAGCATATAACCTAAAAACAAAATCGTGCAAATTATGCCTTAATGAAAAATATGAAATTATTTCAAATAATGACAATAGTTTATTAAATAAAAAGACTGAAATTATATCAAAATGTCGGCATAGAAATAAATTTCTTCTTAGTCAATTCGACACAGGCTAATGGTAGACTTTGTGTAGTTGATGTTTTGACGTCAGATCCCATTGCATTACTTAATTTGTATTTTAACGGTTTTTTAATTTCTTGATTTAAAAAAATATATATGGCTGATGATTGCCGCCAGGCATGAAACTCTGAGTACCAACAAAAAGTTGTATTTTTTTCATTTTAATACTCAATAATTAAATTAGATCTATTATAAAAATCTTTGTTTTTATAATATTGATCACTTTTAAACGAACAAGAGTTTTTTTTGTACATTATTATACAAAAAACATTATACAAAATATACAATATATATATATATATATATATATATATATATATATATATATATATATATATATATATATATATATATATATATATATATAGAATATATATAAATATATATATATATATATATATATATATATATATATATATATATATATATATATATATATATATATATATATATATATATATATATATATATATATAACAGCAAAAATACTTGAAAAAATATTATATATAGAGATAAAAACTTTATGGCATGGTGAAAGAACAATAAGTAGCTTATAATAATTCTAATAAAAATAAACAAACAGATTAGTAGGTGCACAGCAAAACTATTCGGTATGGAAACGGTAAAGAATTTTGAAAAGAAAAGAACTTGAAAACTCGTTAAGAATGTAGTATTAAAAACTTAAGAAAAATAAAAATTATATATAAATTTTATCCTTGATTGGATATATATTTTAGTATAGGTATATGTTTATACAAATATGTGTATAAAGTAACTAGATTATAACAACAGTAAAATTGATTAAGTTTGTAATAAATGTTTATTGTAGCACGAATTGGTATAGTTTTAAAGTAAAAGATATAGTAAAATAGTAGATAAGTAAGCATTTGTGAAAATATATTTGCGAACTATAAGAAATTTGGATATTATTAGAAACTTTATTAATTAAGTAATTAAGAAACTTAAGTAATTAAGTTTTACATGTGAGGGGAAGTTGGGGTACAGTAAATTGAGGAGCACAGTGAATAAGAGGCATTTTCTCAAAGATTAGAATTTCGTTCATCTTTCGTTCATAATTTATTCTTTTTATGCGCCATATATCAGCCATCTTTATTTACAGTTGTTACCACATAATTTTTGACTACCAGATCCCCAGTGGGCACCCGACGTCAATCTGACGTCGGATTTACGTACGATTTTCATCAGCGATGTCAAAAGATCTATTCGGACGTTGTTCCGATGTCAGTAAAATGACGTCGGGCGATGTCTTTATCTCAACATCCCCTGACGTCGTTTCGATGTATTTTGACGTTGTTCCGACATCTTATAAAAGACATCCAAAAAACGTCGCAGTACTGACATCGATCCAACGTCGATAAAAAGACGTCGGGCAACGTCATAATATAAACGTACTCTGATGTCTTTTGACGTCTTCCGACGTCAATCCAACGTCCTTAAAACGACGTCGGAACAACGTCGTAAGACATCGCTGATGAAAATTTAATCCAAACCCAACAATATGTGTGCAATTGCGCTCTTCAATAAATATGTGAACTTAGCGTGTTTTTTATTAATGGAAAGAAGTTTGAATAATGGTTGATAAAACATCATGAGGTTTTGTATGATGCACTAGCATAGTTTTTTAACTACTAACATTTTCGAGTATACATTTTTTATAATATATAACTATTCGTTTTAATATTTATATAATATTTAAACAAAATTATTTCTTATCAAAGAAATAATTTCCAAATAGCTACAAGTATAAATTACTAAATAAACACATTATTTAATGTGGTGTAGTGGTAAGCGCGTAGGATTTAGTTTCTGATAGTCCGAGGTTCGATTCCTGCCTGCGGCAACGTCTTTTAGTTTTCAAAAAACACGTTGGATTTACATCGGAATGCCGACGTCGCGCGATGTCAGTTTATCCGACGTCAAATAACATTTCCATTTCCAACGTAAACCCAACGTCGATCCGACGTCAAGATCCGACGTCGCTCGACGTTCGTTCGACGTCGAAATGCCCACTGGGTCATGGTTTAAGTAATTTCAAAAGTTGAATTTTTCATTCGGATTATTTATATTTATGCTTCCTTTTTTTGTAGTTTAGCTTTTCTTTCAACAGCACTCATTTCCCAAGAAATTAGGCTTAAACTTAATTTGTAATGGTAGGGAACTGTGGATTGGGGTATAGTGAATAGGTTGACTCACTATGCCATTAATTATCTTGAAGATTAAATTCATGCATTTTTAACAAACAAACTACATGAAAATTAATTTAATAGTTTTAAGTTATGAATAATATTTCAATAATTGTTAAACATTTTTATAAGTTTTGTTATCAATAAAATTCTTTTTTGTTTCTTTTCAACTTTCAAAATGTCGACTTTTTCAATTAATTTACGGCTGTGTTCATTTATTCACTGTGTCTCAGTACTGAGACACAGTAAATGTGAGCCGTTAGATAATAAATACTTGGGTTTTAATGATTTGTTATCATGAAGAGCATATAGTTCAATCTATTCGCCTTGAAAAAAGTAAAAAACATATTTTACCTTTTGCTCAATTTAAAAAATATAAAAATCAGATCCACTGTGCCCCAACTTCCCCTATACAACTTTATGTAAAAAAAAAAAAAAATGAATTACTTTAAAATGTAAATAAGTTATACATTTTAATGAGTCATGTAAAAAAATTTGAGTTTAAAAGTATTTCGTGTTTTTACGTTTTTAAATTTGCTTTTTTGTGTTCTGTAAATATTGCCCACCACGGGGCTAAAACTAACATTCACCCCTCCTTATAAGAAGAAACCCGAGAGTGAAAATTTTGCAGTTTGCAGCCATGGAAGAAAAAAAACTGACCTGCCGCAGGAGTGCGGCAGTTCAGTTTTTGAAAATGTTAGTACATAATACTAACATTTTCTTTAGAATGCTGTTTTTTTCTTTCTGCACGTTTATAAACGTGGAGTTTAAAATTTATTTTTTATTAACATTATTTTTAACTATTTGATAATATTTTAATATTATTATAATATTATTTATTAAAATTTATTCTAAAACTGAAATTTTTAAAGGTGGTTTTATATAAACCCACATATTACTGTTTTAGAGTCTGGGTTATCGCTTGCATTTATCTCATCTTATTCGAATATATTAATATAGAGCCGTAGCGCAGTGGTTACAGCGTTTGCTTTATAAGCAGAAGATCCGGGTTCGATACGAGCTCTAAACATATTTCCGCGTCACGGTAAAGAAGGAGGCGTGAACTTCCTGGTTAAATGCACATTCCTGGTCAAATGCACCACGCTCATTTTGTTTCTTTGCGCAGCAAACTTGTTTGATATGGCTCGTGTTTTGGAGTTATAGGGTTGAAAAAGAATCAACGTGTTTTAGAATGGGAGGGATAAAATGGTTTCAACGAAAAATATACGTTCAAAATATGATTAAAAAATTAACATTTTATGTTTTAATTCAAACTAAATCTAAAAATGGAAAAATTGTTGAATAAAAAACTGACTTTTTTTTTTTTGGTTTTAGCAAATTAAAAGTTCGGCTACTCATTGCAACTAAGACGTAGAAAAAACTAATTCGTAAAAAAAAAACCAACAACTTTAAAAAAATCCGATTGGTAGTTAGTGGCAAACCGAACAACTTTTTATTTATTAGTATTTAATTTATGCAAACAAAGAATTCGTAAATAATGGCAAAATATAACAAACAATCGAAGCGTCTGTTATAAAAGTTTTGCCAAATGTCAATTGAAGTTTATTACTGATATAAAAACAAAACGAATTTGAAAATGAAAGTAATTTGTTTATAAAGTTTACCGCTTCTGCTTTTTAATTGTTTACGCATTCTGAATGCAATTAACTATTTTTTCAAGATGACTGAGTAAGTCCAGAGTATGTGATACCAAATACCAAAAATAGTTTTTTGAATGGGGCTAAAATTTATGATTATTTCTGCAAAAACGATTTTTGTAGAAAAATTAATACTACCATAGGTTATCTGAATCTAACGTGACATTATAGTTAAACTTACTCATTTAGGTGTGGTATTAAAAATAAAAACTTCAATTTTCATAAAAAAATGATTTTTACTGGATAATTTTCCCATATAACGTCTGATTAAAAATGTCAAGTTACATTCATTGAAAACAAATACCAATACGTGCTTTTACAAAAAAATTATATATAAAAATAAACTTATTTATATCCAAGCCCCTAGGTACTTTATGTTGAAAATTGCATCTTTTCTAAATAAAACTATGCTTGACGATTTATAGTCAAGCTTAGTTTTATCAAGTTATAGTCGCATTACTTTTATTATATTGTAATAGTTAAAATAATCTTTCCATACATACAAATATGTCATACTTTTTGATGAAAAAACGTACATATATTTTATTTAAAAAAACTTGTATTTTTGTTCGGGAAAACGTGTACCGTGCCTAAGTTCCATCGAGTAATTGAAAATACTCATTTGTTGCATGGATACTTTTTAGCACGCACAATTGAAAATTTAACAAAATTTTAATAACAAAACATTCTACCAAAAAAGTATTGTATTTTAAGAAAAAATACTGGATTACAATGTAACACTCAATCAACATAAAACAGCATCGCGATAAAAATCGAGGGCTGCTAGCAAAAAGTTTTCTTTAACCAAAGCGTTTTCTTTCACCAAAACGTTGAACTATTTATTTCATTTAGAAAATGATGAGTGTATGCAATGAGTGATGATCATGACGAATGCAAGAGATAAATAAAGATCATGACGTTTCAATGAGATGAATAATGATCATACATTGGTAATGGAAAATGAATAAGTCATTTATGTATATTTTAATCCAACTATTTGGTTGTCACACAACTTTGCACATTATCAATGTGGTGATAAAATAGCACATATCACACAAGCTGCAGTTTATGCTTTTAAAGATTCCTATTTAGCAAATCTGGAGCTACCTATCTTTGCGTAAAACTTCCAAATATGCTTCGTGTAACATCGTCACAAAACGGTCATCATTCTAAAAATAACAATGATATATAAACTAGATGTCTAACTTCAATCCGAAAAGAGTAGCCGCTTTTGCCCTTACAAATGGCAGATTAAATTTGTAAACAAATATTACTTTAAAATAACTATTCTTTTCTTAAATGAATTAAATATATTTTAAAGATAAATAGTATTTATGTAAAAGTGTTAAAAAGAAGTTAAAATACTTGCAAAATAATAATTTATGTTTCCTGAATTCATTTTCAATTAGAAAGAGATTAAAGTTTTGAATAGAAAAGTGGAACAACAGAAGCTTTTGATGCATTGTTGCGAATTAAAATACTATTTAATAAACTTAGGCTTATGAAAAAATTTTTATAAGTACTTTATAATTATTAAAACGTGTTTATGAATTATCTTTAACTTGTTGAGAACTTTTGATGCTTTAAAGTTACATTTTTAACTTTTACTCCACACATCGACTTCAGCTTTCGCCCTTTTCACAAATGGCGGACTATATTTATAAACAAAAACAAAATAGCGGCTTCACTTTTCGTCCGATAAAATACCGCAAGTTTATATAATGTTTTATTGAAAAAATACCGCAAGTTTATATGTTTTATTGAAAAATAAATGCTTTTTTAAAAGAGTTCCTGTGGAAAAGAAAAAAAAATCTTTATAGACTCCATAGAACTTTTTTTTTTTTGCTTCGGATAATGATAATAGTATAAAAATTTAAAAATGCAATTACAAGTTAAAAATGAGTTTATATAAAGATTAGTTTTTTTTGGGTTAATTTGAGCGTATTTATTTTATATATACAACATATATTCATTTATAAACTGTCTCCATATCCAAAGAACTCTAAAAAAAATATACTTTTCCTAAAAAAAAACGCTTTAAATAATTAAAGATTGTGACCTAAAGATATTTTAGATACAGGTGAATTGAGAATATATTTATATTTTTTCCTGTTTGACTCTTTTAACTGCTTTTTTTTTGATGAACATGAAAAATTGGTAAAATTATAATATTTAAAAACAAAAGCAACTTTTATTATAAAACAGTTTATTAGTAAAATAGTATTGCAATTAAACTTCATTTTTAAAACATTTTAACGGTTTTAGCTTATAGAGATGTTTTTAGTTTGTAATAAGTATTTTATGTTATATTAACGAGTCTTACTTAGTAGAAGTTTATAATAATATTGTAACTTAAAAGTGACGAAATAGCTAGTAATAAATGTAATAATGTTTTTAAAACAAAAACAAAAAAATCATTGAAGATTATAATAATGGAACTACACGAAGTGATTTATGTAAAAAGTATAAAATATCAAAAGTTATAAGCTAATTAGTCAATAAATATAAAACAAAAGAAACTGTAGAAACTGAGCATTTAGATGGACGGCCGAAAAAAAGTTCTCGACATACTTATCGTAAAATGCGTAGGCATGTAAAAAAGAAACTTATTTGCAAGTGCAAGAGATACAGTTGATAAATTTCACCTAAATATTAAAAAAAGTACTGTACGAAGACGCATGGATAAAGCAGGATTGTATAGTTATGGTGCAGCTTAAAAACCATTTATATCTGTAAAAAAAAAAAAAAAAAAAAAAAAAGCACATTTAGAGTTTTCAAAGGCTCACAAAAGTTAGACAAAAGAACAGCGGAGAAAAATTTTATGGTCAGATTAGTCAAAGTTTAACATAAATGGTTCAGATGGTAAACAAAATGTTCGAAGGCATGTTGGTAAACGATTAAAATAAATGTACACTATAGGAGCCTTAAAACATGGAGATGGCAAAAGCTTGATGGTTTGAAAAGCCTTTCAGGATTTTCTAGATTGGGACCACTATGCCGCATTGACGGAATAAACACATACATAATAAAACTCTGGAACGTTACATGTTACCTTTTGTAAATATTTCAAAGACAACATGCCTTTGAAGTAGACATTTTAACAGGATAATGATCCAAAACACACATTAAAACTGGTTAAAGCAAAGCTCAAAACAAACAAAGTTGATGTAATGCAATGGCAAGCGCAATCTCTTGACCTAAATCCTATTGAGAATTTATGGAAACAGCCTGATGTCAAAGTACGTTTGCGAAGCAAGTTTCGAAATGCAGAAGAATTGTATCAAGGACTTAATAGTACCTGATCACAGATAAAACAAGCTCAAATTGACAAACTTATAGATTCTATGCCTCATAGATATATTAAGGTTATTAAAAACAATGTATATGTCATCAATTAATAATCTTCTATGCTTTTGATGGTGTATTTTAAAATTTAACAATTGTATTCCTTTGAAATATTTTTTGATGATTGCATTTTATTTATATTTAGGTGTTTTAATATAACAAACTTACATAAAATAGTTATTTAGACTATATTTTACTTAAACCATTACTTTTTTGAATTTATGTATATGTATAAACTAGGGTTATGACTTTTTGACTTTTCAAAAAAAATTCCTTTCCTGTGTCATAAATTAATGAACTTTTATTAGCTTGAACATTGAAAACATGTTCAACAACATTGAAAACATGTTCAACAACATTGAAAACATGTTCAATTCCTCTCAGTTGCAAAAAAAGGTCACCCCACAACTGAAATAACGTTTCCTCATTTATATAATCTTGTTACTCCTACTACTAATATGTGTGGCTTTCCTGCAAATCATTTAAAACTTGTATAGATAAGAAGTAGTGTTTAGAACTTTAAAACACTTTGGAAAATAACAGAATATTTTAGAAGACTTTAAAAAATTCTAGAACAATTTAAAACACTCTGAAATATTCTAGAACATTTTAAACTATATATAGCTGCTCATCTAATTTAATAGTTATTACAGAAGCAACACATGGCGTCAAACAAATTCTAGAACAATTTAAAACACTCTGAAATATTCTAGAACATTTTAAACTATATATAGCTGCTCATCTAATTTAATAGTTATTACAGAAGCAACACATGGCGTCAAACAAATTCTAGAACAATTTAAAACACTCTGAAATATTCTAGAACATTTTAAACTATATATAGCTGCTCATCTAATTTAATAGTTATTACAGAAGCAACACATGGCGTCAAACAAGCCTAGTGATAGTAGCATTTAGAAGAACAAGTATGTCTGGACCAAAAATCTGGTTATTACTAAAGTGGATGGAACATCGTTATTATCTGAAGACGAGCGATTGTACCATCTCCAAGTGGAAAGCAAATGAATAGTGGGATACTCTACAGGCCAAGCGGCCAGTAAAGAAACAATATATCTTTCTAAAAGACAAAAACATTCTAATGAGTCATCCAACTCATCATTTTACTTTCCTGGTTTTAGTGATTCTGACTCTGAGACTGACGACAGTGAATATGAAAACAATGAAGAAGATGAGACAACTCCTACACCAAACAGAAAACATAATAAAAGCAAAACTGCAGTCAACTTGGTGACCTCGACAAGAGTATCAACAAACAAAGCTGCTAACATATATGTAGCAGCTTTGTTTGTTGAGCCAATTGCTTGCATAAATGCAAGCAATTGGCTTGTGAAGGCACTGACATAAATGTTATTTACACTTGTAAATATTATTTACAAGTCAACAACTAAAAAAGCAATCAAGCTGAAGAAAGAAATAATTAAAAATTGCATATGGAATGTTGGTCTTTACACTTTGATGGCAATCACATCGACAGAAAGGACTATCAAGTGGTCATTCTTAAAATTGAAATGAGAAATCAAATTGGATGTCCTTGGATTGGTAGATGGCAGGGCTTTAACTGTTGCTCAAGTAATTGATGAACTTCACCTATGGAATTCAATACAGATGATTGTTGCAGATACCACCAGCGTTAACACTGAAAAAAAGAATGGTGTTGTTGTAATAATGCAAGGATTGTTCAAGAGAAACACATCAACAAACCTCAGTTTATCAGTTGTCAACACCATATATTAGATAGAATCTTCCGTTTGGTGATGGATGAAGAACTTGGAAGTAAAACATAATCGCCAAACATTGAATATCCATCTCAACTGTTGAAGGAGTATGAACAACTGAAAATACAGTTTGATAACGGAACAGAAGTAATTCTCAAAACATCAGGCTGGAGAAATAATATGAAATTTTTATTTCATCTCACTCGAGTCTTCAGATTTTTTTGAAAAAGGCCACTTTCCATTGATCAGGTTTCAGAAATTACCCAACATCAGCAATGCGAGTTGGAACTCCAGAGCTATACTAGCGATCCTAGCCTTTATTTTAATTCCTTCAACAAGGACAGTTCTGCAGAGAGTACAGAGAATGTCAATTTATATTGTATGGCTGGGCAGACTATTGGTTTACAGACCAACTGTACAACAAAAACAACTTTAACAACTTGGCTGAATTATTGAATCCATACAAAAAGGCTTTAAGCTCTTTGAAGAATCACTGGAAACGAGAGCCATCCATACTACAGATACCCAGAAGTAATCAATGCGCAGAGCGCGCAATCAAAGTAATGGAGGAAATTTAATAATTATGCAAAAATAAAGGCAAATTACACCTTCGATTCCTTCTGTGAAACAAGCAAGAGCAAGTTTAATGGTCTGAGTCATTGCTGGATTGAAAATTTATTGTATTACATGACTATGACATTTTAAATACATTTGAGTACATAGTAGTTCTTATGTCAAAATCCATTTTTAATGGCGAGATAAACATTTTTGAAAAGAATTGGGAATAATAGTTCATTTCGTGGTTTTTAGGTAAAAGTTCATCAAACTACAGTGCAGGAGCATGAGGTTGATAAAAAGTCACAACCCTAGCATACACGCCAATAAATATGACCTTAAAGTGTGAGAGGTTGGGATGACATGGAATTTTGCAAATGTTCTCCTTAATGATGAAAAATGATGTTCTCCACAGACTAACCTATCATACTAACAAAAATTAACATCTTTTATTACAAAAATAATATGTTGAAAATAATAATGTATTTTTCTGAAGCATAAGTCCTTTAAAATATTAAAAAACAAAAAAAATATATATAGGATTCCAAAAAAAAGAAAAGAAAAGAGATTCAATCTGTAGATGCGATAGCTCTATATGAAAAAAATATGTTACAATGCCTTTAAAGTGATTACACAAACCATACTAAAATTTTTGAAGCTATAACTGCATATTAACACTTTTTTGAAAAATACAAAAATATATATAACAAAAAAAAAATGTCCTAAAAACGTAATATCATCTCCATTTTTTTTTCTTCCTGTTTAACATCCATGCTTTAGATGGTTTCCATAAATTCATCTTCATAATGAAAATGACATTAAAGAAGGCTTGAAGCATAATTTTACAACAGTGTATTACACTTTTATTGTGACATTATTACTAAAATAGTTTAAATTAAAAGGATTTTTAATAGATTTTCTAAAATAATTTTACTGGGAAACTAAGAAACCTGAATTTTCTCAAAATGCTTTATAATGCAGCTATACTTTTGTTTATAAAGCCTTATTTACCAGACAAGCCTTTCTTGACTGCCAAACATACCTATTATCATGTCCCAGTTGTTTTGAACACCAAAAAAAAACTTGCAACATTATTGAATTTACTGGTGGCAGAAAAAAATTTCATTGTCAGCAGTTTGATAAAAATTTATCTATATTTTTGAAAGCTTTATTTCAAGTATTAAGTTATACCATAAAAATATTTATTTAAAAGTTTATCTAATGATAAATAAACAAACACCGGTTTCATAAAGTTATGTGTAAATCTTAATTAAAAAACATTATTTTTAAATTTAGAATATCTTGACATTTAAGTTTTAAATAAAGACATTTAAGTAGTAGACATATAAGTTTTAATTAAATTTTAAAAATTTATTGAAAAGAATCTTTCAAAAAAAAAAAAAAAAACATAATACAAAAAATTGTAAGAGTTTACTTGTTATACATTCTGAAAATATATTTTGTTGATTCAATAAAATACTTTGTTTAAATATTTTTTGCTAAACAGTAACATAAATTAAAATTGATGATCTAAAAACCAACAATAATTTCATTTATATATGCGCTTTATACTTGAAATTTACCATTATTATAATAGTAAAAGTAACAAAACTATAAAGTCAATTTAAAAAAATTAAAAGCTAACCTGAATGACATTTAAAAGAGTTTGTTGAAACTCATCCTTAGATAATACTAATTCTTTTTCTTTTGTTTTGTTGCGCAATTGAAATGCAGCAGGAGACATTAAGGAATTTAAACATGAAGCTGAAGGTGCTTCACGACCTTGCTATAAATTGATATTAATTAACAATGGGTTAAATTACTAAATAATTGCAAATTAAAATTTTATTAACAATACTTTTTCAATTAATAATATTAACTATTAAAGTGTAAATACTAAACATAAATTAAATTTTTTCAATTTTTAATACTTTTTTTTTTTTTATATGTTGCTATGCTACAAAATATTTTATATCGTAACGAATGTGTTTCTATAACAACACAAACAAAAACAATATTAATCCAACATAAATATAAACATAATATATTATAAACATAAAATATATGAATCCAATAAAAGTTATAGATAGCCATGGTTACTACTTGAAAAATAACACTTTTATATATTTAATTTCTTAATAAAATTTTGTCATCTTTTTACCTCAATTTTCTGTTCATCACCAAAAAGCTAAAAAAAAAATTAAACATTTTTTAACTATGTCATTTTTTAACTATGTCATTGTTTAGTTATAACAATTATTACTATTGATTAATATTTAATTGAATTGTGAATAATAAAATAATTAACCGAACAATACACATTTCTAAAATCTTAAAAATAAATTACCTTTTTGGAGACTTTAGTACCTTGCGTTGCAAAAGTAGCTGAGATTAAATGATAATAATTTAAAATTAATAACACTTGAATACAATATATATATATATATATAATATATATATATATATATATATATATATATCACACCCTTCTATAATGACAGGCCTTGACGTCGCGCAAAACACCGTAAAAACTGAAGGCCGATTAAATTTTCACTGACAAAAATATTAATGTTTTTATAATTGGCAGGGCGTAATGGCAGTCTGTGTTTTCTAATAAAAAATCTCTAATAAAGACGGAAATATAAAAAGAAAATCAAAAAATTGTTAAAAGAATTATATTTCAAATTTCATTAAGAGTATTAATGTAATATTAAATAGTATCAATAATAGTAATAATAATATTAGTAATAGTATCAATAACAAGAAGAATCATAGTAATATATATAACTATATATTAGAAAGATAATTATATATATATATATATATATATATATATATATATATATATATATATATATATATATATATATATATATATATATATATATATATATATATATATATATATATATATTTATATATATATTTGCTTACAGAAACATAACTAAAATTAAAAGATAACAAAAATCACCAACAATAAAAAAAAAAAAATTGATTCTTGTAAAAAAGTTTTATCAATATATTTCAACAGAGTAAATATTTACAAATCCAAACATATCGAGAGACGTAAAGGCTAAAGTGAAAATAACAACATAACAAGTAAATAGCATAAATTACAAAACTAATTTTCACATAAATTATGACAGCTTTAGTACTTTCGTTTTAAATTCTTTGCTACTGCTGGGAGTGGTAATTATTGCATAATTCTTTAGCAAAATATTAAAATATATTCTGCATTGTTTTTTTGTGATTTTAAATTTATATTTAGCTGCAATGAACTGAAACTGTGTAACACAAAATGTTCTGCATAAAGGGCCAGTAGCACATTGAAAAAACAAAAAGCAAAATATTGACCATTGGACTAGAGTATCTGAAGGAATTTCAAGTCCCCCTCTGTTTAGGCTATTCAAATAACTTTTATAATTATAATAATAATTGTTAGTGTCATCATGAATCTTTATTTCGCTTTTTTACACATAGCCAGCTATGTAAACTATAGCCACTAATTTAGATTTATTAATTGAGCTCTCAAGATCATGTATATTATCCAGCAGTTCTTTTTCATCAGTAGAAATATCTTTAAAACATGTGTCACAAGTATGACCATCAATACCATTAACAGGAATGTCAAGTTGTAATATCAATTTAGTATGTTGAATATTAATATTTTCACTTACAGATTTAGCATTTATAAAGTAAGTACCTCCAGATTCCTGTCGAAGTTTAGAAAAAGCTTTTTCAAGTGGATCTGTTGTAAACCAACCTAATAAAACATACTTCGCTCCATTACTCAACAAAGTTTCTACAAGATCAATTAGGCCATAACATGTATGCGTTATTGCATTGCTAGTATCTAGAGTAAGCTGTTTTACACGCTTACCTGTAGGTTTCATATAACTTGACAGTTCAGCAATATTTCGTAGCAGTTGTAACTGTTGATCACCAACAGAGTGGATTTCTCCACATAATTCATTTCTAAACCGAATGCTAGCGCCAGGTGCTTTGACATTTACAATTCATTTACATTCCAAAAAGAAATAATTTTTTCAATAAATACAGTAGTACCTTCAAATGCATTATTTTTAATCTCTGGATGTGTTCTTAATGCAGCAACTGTTTCTTCGCAAAAAACAGACAAACAAAACTTCACAGAGTGTCTCTCTATTGGTTTTGGATAAACTGATTTAGCTGTAAGTTGAGAGAGTTTAAAAAGACTATTGCACTTAGTTTTATATAAAGTTTCTAAATCACTCCATTTAGCCAAAGCTAGTTCTCCATTGTTCAAAAATTGAAGCTGGTCAGTCTTTTCTGTTAACCAATTGTTTCGTATAGATTTCAAGAGATGCACATAATCATACAATAAATATATACCTGATGTTGTTAACCATGGTTTATTATCAACTGTTTCAAACATTTTAAAAAAACCTTTGATTTACACGGTTACCATCAGTAATTATTGCCAGTATTTTACTATTTTCAATATTATTTATTGTATCAACAATTTGTTGACATTGAGTAAATTGAAATTCAGAAGAAAGATTTGCAACAGGTTGAGCTCTAAATATAAATTCTGGACCACCAAAAAGACATTTAATCATAAATGATAAAACTGTTTTAGCAAACTTTTTAGGGTAGTTTACTGCTTGACCAAACAAAGCACCTCTTTAGTAAAGTAATGAAGCTTTAACATAAACCTCATTAATTAGTAGTATGGAAGTTCTTTTCAATGGATCTAAATTCATAAAAACACTATTTACAAAATTTAGGTCCTCCATCGAGCTTATTTTTGAAGTCAATCGTGTTAAAGTCCATATACTTGGCAACTTAAAGTCAATACATAAACGATTATATAAACTTCGTTGCATAGCAAAATACTCATATGCTCTACATATAATATCTGGAGTATATAAAACTTCACCAACATTAACTTTTCTCATAGCATTAACTTAATGATTAAGGTGCTCAAATAAAATATTTGACTGATGCGAACTTTCTTTATTTTTTAAAAATTTAACTGCTTCAAATAAAGCTGATTTTGTTTTTATAAACTTTAATTTGTTTACAGTTAAAGATGAAATATTACAAGTTGTGCCATTATGGTAAGCTACCAATCAATAATCATCGAAAATTTTTTAAATAAATAATGGAACACCAAGTTTGAACATTTTTGATTGTATGTATAAACTTTTTTTATTAAGCTGGAAAACAATAACATCGTTATTATCACTTAACAAAGATTGAATATTGTCAAATGTAAGTTCATCCTCTTTTAGAAAATCACTTAACTCATCTGGTAGAATTTTTCGAAAACCGCTTGAAGTTACAGTTTTTCTAACTTTACTTGCTGGTGTGGGTAAACAACTAGTTGGTATATTTTTAAAAACAGATAGTGGATATAAAGGCTGTTGCTTCCCAAATTTGCTTTCAAAAGGTGCATCATCTGGCCAATGCAGGCGACATACTGCTGTATAGTCTGAAACAGTAAAACCAGTTCTTGGGAAAGCATCACTCCATCTTTTTCTCTCCTCTGGATTCTTCAGGAATTTGTAAATTGATATTTTTGTTGTAGTTGAGTAATAGTTCGACTTGCAAAGAGGTACACAGTATTTTAAAGACATTTCAATTATTAAAATATCTATAATAATTATTAAAATATCTGTAATAAGGCCAATATTAACATCTTGAACCTAACAACGTCTTGAAGTTGTGCTATCTAATTTATAAACCAATCAAATTAAAAAAATTTATTAAAAAAGTGCGAACGCAAAACTTTCGTCTAACGTTAAAAGAATGAAATGTAAACACAGTATTAGATATCGGCCTTCAGTTAAACAACTTAGTTGCGCGATGTCAAGGCCTGTTATTATAGAAGGCTGTGATATATATATATATATATATATATATATATATATATATATATATATATATATATATATATATATATATATATATATATGTATATATATATATATATATGTATATATATATATATATATATATATATATATATATATATGTATATATATATATATATATATATATATATATATATATATATATATATATATATATATATATATATATGTATATATATATGTATATATATATATATATATATAATATATATATATATATATATATATATATATATATATATATATATATATATATATATATATATATATATATATATATATATATATATATATATATATATATATATATATACAACCCTTGGAATAAGAAAAATTGAGGTCAGCAATTTAAAAAAAAATAATTTGCCGACTTCAACATTTTAGAGGCCAGCAAAAAAATTTGATACAAAGGTCTAACCATAAAACATTGAAGCAAGGTGGGCAATTTTTTGCCGGCCGCAAAAACTTTTAGGTCGGCATTGCTGAATGCTGATCCTAATTTCGAGGGTTGTATGTATGTGTATGTGTATATATATATATATATATATATATATATATATATATATATATATATATATATATATATATATATACATACATACATACATTTACATATATATATATATATATATATACATCTACAATTTTAACCAACAGATAAAAAAATAGAAACAGTTAAAAAAAAAAAAAAAACATACAGAAAACATGATTAAAAAAAAAAGGCAAAAACATGCATCAAAGGACTAGACCGAGCTGTCAAGCCTAAGTAAAATAAGGAAATATTTAGGAAAATAAAAGATAAAATAATTAATAAAATAAATAATATATATTGAACAGATGTTCAGAACAAAAAAAAAAGATACTACAATAAAGTGTGTAGTAAAAAATAATAATAATTATTTAGACACCGCGCATGTAAAAGAAATGTAATAAAAACAAAACAGGACACATAAGTAACCATAAATCTACAGTAAATACAAATGTTTAACATACTTAAAATAAAAATACATATGCATAGATATATCAGTATTTAAAATGAATAAATATAAATTCATAGGAGGTATAAGATAAAGAAAAAACATTATTGCTTTTGTGTAATCATAATGTATGTAGTGGTGGTAATAAACTTCTCCTCAGAACCGTGTTTATTATTACTGGCGTGTTTATTATTACTGGCTCAACACCAATACCTAGTTTATCCCATAAACTAGGTATTGGTGTTGAGCCAGTAATAATAAACACGCCAGTAATAAACATCATCGCTATTTATGCTTTACCCCATGATTAAATTTACTATTTGTGCTAAAAAACCGCTCTTAATAACTCTTGGTCTTAATGTAAAAACCATTATATTGAATTAAGAAAAATTTATCTTTTTTTTTTTTTTCTAAACAAAAAAAAAAACGAAACTTTATAGGCTGAAATGTTTATTTTTTTAATGGAAAATAAAAACATTTCAGATTTTGTTTT